ATTTAATTGTAACTTTCGATTGGCATAAGTATAATGCATAAATCATTTAGGATTACTAAAATTTATCTTTCTAAAAAGGAATCTAATTATTTTCTTATTAACAAAGGAAATTGAAATATTCAATTACTGTAGTTCGCAATTCAATATTTGTACAGAATATTGATTCATTTAATATTACATGTAAATACGTATAAATGATTCATAAAAGTGGTATTTGAAACAGTAAACAAATTGCACTATTTGATGAAACTCTTTTTATGTAAATTTTTATGCAAAGTTAAATTCGCGGCATAAATGTAGAAAGGAATAAAAACAATGAAAAATAAGTTACTTACCATTAGGAAATATTTAGAATACTTATTTGAGTCAATGCAACGTGACTATTTAATTAAATTACAATTAGAAGACCGACGCTATTTCTTTTGGAAGGCCTTGTTTGTACAAAAATTAATTAGAAAGATTTATCGCAAATAATTATTTTCCAATTTTTATTCGGATAAAACTCTAATTGTAATCTTTCGTGTGGAATAATATGATGTGCTTCGACTCAAGTGAATTAATTTTATTTTATAAATGTGCCTCGAGCAACACTGACCATGCGAATGATCGAATCTCTTTCCGCAGAATAATGGACCTAGGAAATGGGAGTCTCCCCTCTTGCGTTGCACATAGCAACATCAAATACTAAGAGTCAATAAAAACTGATTCTTTTCTTTATTAGAATTCGATCAATACAAGAACTTTGATGAGCAACTTGAAACGCTATTCATGTTCAAACTTTAATGTAATTCCAAAGACTTTTACACATTTTACATATTTTTACTTTGTGATAATTGTTCAACAATGCATTAAAATTTTCAAACATATAACTTTTAAATTATCCGATGATTTATCTTTTTTTAAATTTATCAAGTTTAATTTTTTGAATTTAGCAAGAACATTTAAGCTTTCTTTCTATACACACACTCAGTACAGCAAAGATATAGAAAGTTAAAAGTTTCTATGCCAATTCAAATGTTGATTAATACAACGTTTAAATTATTTTAAAAAATTAGAGAATAAGGGCTCTAAGATATATTTTTCATTCAGATGAATTAATTTTGAAAACGCGTATATAATAAACTTTATACTTTGCCTAAACTGTGCTTCAAACAATTTATTAAAGTGATATCTTTTGTAACGATTCCTCTTTAGATACATGAAACTTTTAGATATTTTAGATACATTTTAATTTTTAAAATCAACAAAGTAATTTTACTTGTTCAGCAATTACATTTGCTGAAACAGTAAACCATGTATGATTAATATAATTTTATTCTCTAATACTTAATATAATTTTTATTCTCAGAATATTTGGTAAGTCAGATGAATTATAATTATCTATGAGGATAATCGTAGATTAAGTATACATGTTAGATAAAATGTCTTAACATTCTTTGTTAAACATATACATACGCATATCTTGTCTTATCTAAAAGAGTTTTATAATTTAATTTATTTATTAATTTAATACTACGCTCATATGTTTTAAATTATTTTAATATTGAAGTTATTTTAATGTCATATAAAGGAAAATCTTTTCAGTGACTGCAAGATTGCACAAAAAGACGTAATCATAAAAATAATCGTTATTTACACGATATAATTATGTATGTATTTATTTTCAGACAAGAGACATTGATCAGTAACTAATTTATTTTATAATATTAATATATCTAATTATGTATATAATTAAAATTGATGTATTAAGATAAGATAAAGAATATAAATGCAATAAAAAATTGAAAATAAATAACGGTGAAAAATATTGCCAAAATCTTGCGAATGTTATTTGCAATTAACAAATAAATATCTTCGAATTCTGACTTCGTATAATAAAATTCTAAGTGTTTCAATTTGAACAGTATTAACGTCATATGTCGTTTAGTATTCACGTACCAAGTGAATGATATATAATGATTCGTTCGTTATTTTCAATGAATCATTCACCAGTTTACAGAGAACATGATTATATAACATTCTCGTAATACATAATTTTGCTGTGCATATCAACGCTACGGGGTGCATATTTTTTATGCTTAAATGTAAGCATAATTTCCTGCAACTGGATATATGTTATTAAATGTTAATAATTTACAGATAAAAACACTGACTATGAAAAATATATATATTTTCTATTTTTATAAAAATCATACATGTGACATACTAATTACGTTGTGTATTGATATAATTAATAGCTAATAATCAATATAGCATATTAGTATGTATAACATTAATTGTACATACAATATTAATCTCACGTCACATTGCAGTTAAATAATAAATATCTTGCAGTTGGTATTCATTCCTAAATATTATAAAATATATTAGTAAAAACTAATATTGTAGTAAAACATAATACAGTTACAATAAATGAAGAGAATATGATCTGACGTTATATTATTAAAAAGTCATATGTGATTAAAGAAAAGTAAATAGTACAGTACTATAGAAATTTGAGGGAGTTATGTTCTTTTATCGCCACCGGAAAGGTATTGTAACAGCAATCCAGGGCTGTAACAAGATTCCACCTGTGCCTTGAACATTTGTTCCAAACCACTTTTTTACATTTTATCATGAATAATTTTTAAATCATTAATTATTCTTAATTTTGGCATACAACTGCACAAAAGACTCAATATCAAGAAACTCGAAATTTAAAGAACAAATTAAAGAATCACAAATTTATAAATATCAATTTTTACAATAAAAAATAAGTTTTTTGATTATTTAACAAATATCAATTTCATATTAAAAATTATATTAGGAAGATACAATAAAAAATTCTATTATAAGGTCTATAAATCTATGAAGCAACCATATAATTGGCAAAATTTAATCTGCATTTTCATATTTTTATCTGAATATATACTTTATTTGAATATAATGTGTATGTATACATACTTATTTATTTTTATATCTTTAATATATTGTACAATTTAATTTGTTCAATGTTCTAATATTGTGCGATCATGTATTTGTTTCAGTAAGATAAATTTTTAACTTATTACAGTCAAAAAATAATAAAATAATATATTTTAATCTAGAAAACGTGTGTGTGTGTGTGT